TTAATATATACTCGATTAATTCGTTATTTCTTGTGGACAGTTCAATGTAGCATGTTTGAATAAGCACGGCAAAATTTATCACTAACGCGTGAAGTGGCTATGAGAAGAACATATTGAAAATGGAATAGTTGGATCGGAAGCTCTTCATATTTGGAAATTTCATGTCATGAAATATCAACAAAGAATGATTTGATGTTGATGTCATATTAAATAGAGTAGAGAGAGGGTTAAGAAATGTTCTCATTTGGTTCATCTTCTATTACCATTTATTTTTTTTTTTTTATAAGAGTTGTTTTTTATGCTAATGATTTTAATTTGTATACATCTAATAATAATAAACATTTCAAAATTGGGATTTGAGACTTAGGATTTTGACATTGTTTAAAGTTGGAATTGGAACTCGTCTCTTTTGAGTTCGAGCTGCAAAAATATTTATGTCATTCATTGTCTATAGAAAATCTATATCTTTCAACGAAGCTTTAAACCTAGAACCAAAGGACCAAGAAATTTGCGGCATTGTCTACTGTTTTGTTCTATGCTTATTTCTCAACCAAATCTCTATGGATAAAGCAGTGACAATAATGATAATAGCACCATTTCTTCTGCTGCTTTCATGTCTGAACATCCATTATTATATCAATATGTTAGTCCTCTTTACTTCACTTCATCCACTCCATCAAATAATAGTGATAATGTGAATCATCGAGATCCTTTATCGCGTAATTCTAGAAGCATTGAAAATATTGGTGGCAGTAGAAATAATCATGGCCCATCACTCGAAGAAATATGCATAGTTAATACACCGTTATCACCATCACCAAGAAAAGTTTCGGTTGATGAATCGAATTTTGATGATAAAGTTAAACAACTTTGCGAAATGGGATTTTGGGGAGATGAAGGAGAAATGATTATTTTTGTTTTTGGTTTTGTTTTTGGTTTTATTTTTTGTTTTGGTTTTGGTCTTGGTTTTGGTCTTGGTTTTGTTTTTGGTTTTGATTTTTTTATCATCTTCATCAAAAAGATTCTTATAATAATTGTTGTTGTTATCGTTGTTTTCGTTTTTATCATCTTTTGAAGAAGAAGAAAAAGTGTTTTTATTGTGTGGTGTAGTTGGTGTCTGTGGTTCAATAATAATAGAGGAAGTAGTTGAATGTTCTTCTTCTTCAATTACATTTAATGTAAATTTAATGGTGGTTGCGCCATGGTTAGAAAGAAGTTCTTGTAGTTCCAAATCAGTTGATATTGTAATAATATCATCCTCTTCGTCAGTATAAGAAAGTGTGAATTTTGAAGTTGGTGAAAGTGTAAATAGCATACGAATTTTTTCCTCTAAATCAGACCATTTAGCAGAGTTTGATATAGAGAATTTACGTAAAATAGAATTGTGAAATATTTTTATGTTTGTCATTCTTTACAATTTTACAATTGAGAAAGAGAGTGAGAAAATGAAAATGAAAAAACCCAAAAATAAAATAGGATATGTTGTGCTTGTGACCTAGTTAGTCAGTTACACGCCGACCAACTTCCATAAAAGATTTAGTTGTTACGATAATTTTATTTTTATAATTTTATTATTATTATATTAATCAATTATTATTATAAAAATTTTATTAATCAATTAACACCTACATTCAAATTATGCAAAAGTGGATTAAATTTGTCAATGTGAGCCATAGACAAATTCATTCGCACCAAAATAACAATATAAAATCAACTTTTCTTTTTTTTAAAGTGGATGATGGCTTTTTTAAAGATTTATTTATTATACAATGCAATGAAGTTTTCTAAAAGTCCAAACCTCAAACTATTGTAAATGCCTTAAAAAAGAAGACTTGGAATAAAAAAATTAAAAGCAAGAAATAAGATTGAATTATATATAACAAGATTCTCTGTAAAATTCAGTTCTAATTAACCTTTTACTATGAAAAAAAAAAAAAATAGCTCAAATCCCAAGATATTATTATTATTAATGCCAAGTATGATATTATCGTTAGGGTGCCCAGGATTATGCTTAATTTCTGAGCATAATCGCATAATCACATCATCTACGTGTATAATTTACTTTTATGTAAGTGATTGATGATGATTATATATTAATATATATATTCAATTACGATTATAGAATGAAAAATGCATTAGAACGTTTGAGGAAAAAAAAGTCATTATAATAATCATTTTTACGTTGAAACTGGGAAAATATTGTCATTTTTGTAACCATATATACTATAAATCATGAGGAAAAATCAATTGTTGATAACCATATAGAATCAACGAAACATAAAGCTTGCTGAACAAAAACATAAAAAATAATCCACAACCTTTACAAAGCTCTTTGCTTTCTTTCACTAATAATGATCATGACAAAATCAATATTGAAGCATTTACTAAAGCTGATATTCCTCTGGATAAAATAGATAAATTAAAGTTTTTTTTTAATTCATATTGTAAGAATGGTAAGGAAATTTTCATATCAAAAAAAATTAAAATAAATTAATTTGAATATTTTAATGTAAACGAGTGGATTAATTAATTAAACCTGACCTGACCAATATTGATTATGGATGGGCGTCACAATAGTTAATTGATTGATCCCCTCTCATCTCTTCCAATGATTAATCAAAATATTATTTACCTGACTGTAGATTGTTCCAATGTTATTTTTTCAGGACAATTTACTTATAATATCTTTCTTTAATTCCTCAACACTATTGTAAGAATTATATCTTGAACACACATCTCCGTTTAATGTAAAACCAAATTCCCGATTATAAAATGATTTGCCAATATC